AGGGAAGCTGATAAAGTGTCCTGTATAGAGTCTTACATAAACAGTGACAGACTGCAAACAGAAAAATTAACATCCAGAGGTATTCAACATGTTAATTTGGGCTTCTTTTCCTTTCCTTTTCTAAAATTTTTTTACGCACTGGAAAGGTTCTTTAAAGTATGTCAGGTATTTATCACACATTGTTTACTTGCTAAACTTCCCTATTGTATTTGTATATTTGTAAAACTTCCCCTGATTCTTTAGTCACATGTAAAAGATTTTCACTTTGAAAAGACTGCTAGCCTTTTCCACCTCTGATATTTGTGATTTTTAATATTTTTTTCCTTCTTTTTGTTTTACAGAATGTTTATAAGGGTTCTGTGTGGAGAAATGAAGGGCACAACAGCCAGTAAACACAAAGCTGTTTTCTTCAGTGCTTACTGTAGTCATGGGGAAAATTTTCGAAATTACAAGCTGGGTGCAGTTTGTCTCAGAGCAGTGCAGAGCTGTGTTGTTACATCGTACAGCTGGAGTAAACTTTCCATCTTCACTGGTGCCATTTGTGACTGCAATCTGCAGCATAAGGTCCTTCTTACCCTCGGCTGCAGCCTGAAAGCCGAGATGGCAGGAGAGAGCAGGAACACCTTTTCCTCATTCGCGCACAGCAAGGACTTCCTTTCCATATGTAGGTGTTACCAGTTTTCACTGGTACCAGACTGAATTCCTGCAGATGGCTTTACAAGGAGCTGTCCTTGAAAATCACTGGAAAATTTGGCTAGCTGATGCTTCAGCTGCCATATTTCCCACAGAGTACCAAATCTGTCTCCATAAGGGATGGTGACTTCTTGTTAAATTACTTGTCCTGTTAGTTACAATCTAATTAAGTAGACCTGTCTCGTTAATTTGTGTTAAATCCCATATATCCAAGGTACTGTCTCTCCCTTCACACTTATATAAGTCCCTGCCTGGTGAGTTCAGCCAGAATGATTCAGACTGACATTTCCAAATTAAATTAGAAGTCTGTGGATTTTAAATGGACAGTCTCATGCTCAGGAACTGTGGACCTTTGACTTTGAAATGCACTTTTCTTTTTGGCCTGATGTAGCGTAAGCTTGTTGGAATGCAAGTCCCAGCAAATTTATCTATTTACTCATGTTGTTTCTCAGGGGGGAATTTCAGGGAAATCAGGGGATTTCATGGCAGTGGAGTTTTATCAAAATTAATCTAACTGGATAGAATTGGTGTAAGTGGATGTTGTAAACATTGTGGAGCATTTTGGCCTAGGGGGCACCCTAAGTACATTTTTGCAGATAGAATATAAATACAGGAATGATTTTAAACATTACCCGGGACTGAATAGTCATGTTTTTTTAGCAAAGGAGACATTCAGCTGACTTCTTATTCACTATTTGGGAGCGTCCCCATTGCCATGAGACCAAAATTTGTCTTTGGGTTTCACAAGAGCAGATGCCCAAGAAACCTTCAACCCTCTCTGTAAGGAATGGAAACCAGCTGCCTTTGACTATTGCATGCCACTGCTTGGAGGGCACAGGCTTGTGGCAAGGGAAACCTTTGTGAGGTGAATTTCTGCAGAGGAGTGATCAGGCCCTTTGTTTTCTGGACCCCGTTCTTCCAGTCTCTCTCCTCAGCAGCCGGCATGAAGTACTGCTGCTGAAAGTTTTTTAATATTGAGTTATAAAAGCAATCACTTACTTATTTTTAAATATAGAAAGAATTACTCGTAGCTTATTAACAGCTCTGCTAGCCAGAGATGACAATTGCTGAATGTCTGAATAAATCTGCTCTATTTATCACTTCATGGAGTCTATAATCCTCAGAGAGTGTAAAAAATTTACAAGACATCTCTGAATACTGAATTTTGCATTGATTTGGATCTCACATTTGTTTGAAAGACATCTGAAATCATAACCACACAGACACTTTCCTCCTGAGAACGCCCCAGTGGAGGAACTTTTGTAAAGGATGTAAAATCACCTGAATCTGTAAAATATGCTGACAGTAGTGTGACTTGAGACAGTGGGCAAGAGGGTGTTGGATGACTACCAATGTGAACTTTCAAATTTCTGGGAATCCTTGGGTTTCAATGAGTGTCTATTCCTGTCCTCAAAAAAAAAAAAAAAAAAAAAGAAATGGAGAGTAAGCCCATACAGTCATAGGTTTGTGTAGAAGCTATTGCGAGTTTCTAAGTATTTCAGAAGTGAGTCCTAAATTTCATGGGTTAATCCTATTTAATTTTAATGAATCTACTAGTACAGGAACAGCTGAGCAATCAGACCGTTTCAAAGCTCCATATATACAGACATCGATCCATTTATGTTCATTTCTTAGCTGTTGCAGCAGATAAGTGTAAGCAATCAAAACTTAAAAAATGCTGTTGCTTTATTTCTTACAGATAGGGCAACTTGAAAGGCTAAACACAAGAAAGGAGGTAAAAACCAGTGTTGTAGCTGGCACATGTTTTAAACAAAAACCTATGAGAAATATTTACTTCGCTAAGAGAAAAGGAGAAAATTCAAAAAATAATGAATATATTAGTAAGATTTAATCCCTCTTTTATTTGAACAAACCTGCTAGATGATTGTTCCAAATCTTTGGTCACAAGCAAGCAATTCAGTATCTACAGCAGTGGGCTACCTATGCATGTTTTGCATGCACACTGTTTGTATATAGCAGGTGACATTTCTAAATCATGAAAAGAAAGCAGCTAAGTGAGCAGAATAAAAAGGACTGGAGACAATTTATCAGATAGCTGATATATATATGTTTCAATTTATTTCAGACAGAAACACATGAGCTTTCTGCTTGTTTCCACGGCAGAATAAAATTGTATAACTTTAGCATCATTGATCCTTGCAGAACAGCTTTAAATCTCCCCAATGATTTAGTTGGAGAGTCTGTACAGCTAGACAGTCAATCTGGCTTGTTTCTCTTGCTAGGAAGCAGAGGAGGGAGTAGCCATGTTAGGGAAACCAAAGGTGGGATTTCAACAAACCAGGTTTCCAGGATTCAGCCGTTGCTACTCCAAAAAAACTCCTTTCAAACCATTTTCTACAATACACTGGCCTTTCTCATAAGAGCTGTACAGAACTTTTCGAGTAAAAAATTTTCTGTTAAAAGAGATAATTCTGATGAAATAGGAGTAGAAAAAAGAAGGTTTTTTTGGAAGAAATACGTGAACATTCATTTTATGTTAATGATTGATTTTATCTGAAGTAAAAAACTGTTCTGCATTGTATAAAATGTTTAAAAAGAAAACAGTAAAAACGCTTTGGATGCCATCAAAACAGAATATTTCAATCAACCTCCAAGTGATTTTTAAATTGTGTAACATGGGAACATGAAAATTATTCACTTGTCCTTCATTTCACAGAGAAAAAATATTCAACAGCAGGCAATTTCCCTTGGAAAGGAATTGCTGCTTACAAGACAGCTCCAGCCTTGCTCTGGTTTTGTCCTGATTCCCTGCTTGATGGCAGCTCATATCTCTGCAAAAAACGCAGTCCCATGTAGTGCCTCAAGGATGGTTACCAGATGATAAAGGAACCATCTGTTCAGAAATTTGTGAAGGTGGTAGGACTGGGGACATGGACTGTTTCTGAGGGGAGAAGTACTAGATCTGTGGGACACAGCAGGATCAGGAGGTGTAGGAGTCAGGGACAAAAGGCAGTGGGATGACTCTTTGTGGGACAAAGACAGCAGTGCTACTGGTCACCCATGGCTGCTTCCCCGTGGGCAAAACCTTTGCTTTCCCCATTAGGGAGGGGAGATCAAAGCCACTGCAATTCCAGAGCTGTCTTTCCCTGGCCTTTCCTAAAAATATGCCAGATGTCTTCATATGAGCCCCAGACTTCTGCCCATTTCCACCTACTCCACCTGCTGCTGCAGGGGTGGGAGAGGCAGCGTTTGCAGCCATGGCTGGGCACCAGGACCCAGTGACCTGCTTTCCAGTCTCAGCAAAACTCAGACCATCACTGAGGGAAAGCAGCTCTGTGTGACAGCTCTGCACAAGCCTCAGCATAAAGACCTGCTGTCTTTCTGAGTGCCAGGTTACAGGGGATGAGGGCTACAGGGTGCTGTGTGTCGGGAAGAGCCAGTGGGAGCATTTGCAAATGCTTCCCTTGCCAAAGCCAGAGAAGCAACCCAAAACTTAACCATTAGAATAATTTGCTGGCGTGCTGCAGGCTCGTTGTGTCAAGGGCAGAAACTAAAGTTTAATCATTAAAACATGGGTGAAGGGGAATTTGTTCCTCCTTTTGTGCACATCTGAATGTCTTTCCAGATCTGGCCCTGGCAGAACTGCCCTGGGCTGGCCTTGGGGAAGCTTCATGCCCACAGGCAGAGAACAGGCAGCCCTTCAGACCCTGATCCTTGGGAAACATTACCTGCAGGGAAAGAGGGCACCAGCAACCCCCTAGGCTGGCTCCTCCATAGTAAACACAGCTCGTGGATAAACACAGTGCAGACAAATAACTAGCTGTGCGACAATAAAATCAGCTCAGATATTGACACAAGGAGAAGACACCCCTGAGGCAGCACTCACTGCAAACCCATCTCTGCATGAGCAATAGTTAAATGTTTGTCCTTGCCTCTTTCTTTCAAAAGTAGGGCAAATATCTATAGAGTTCCCAGCGGGGAGGTAATCTAACTTTAACTTTCATACAGTCAAGTAAAACACCCGAGACCTGTGTTAGGGATGCAAGCAGGTCGTCTGAATTATGATTATTCAATCTGGTATTATTTTAATCTGGCATGCCTCTCACGTGCTTCATTTAGGTTCATCTTGACCTGAAAACTGCAATCTCAATGCCTTTTATGCCTCTATCTTTACAGGTGATTTACCTTGTTGGAGTGTATTTTTTCTGTTTTGGTTTTTTTCCCCCCAAATATAAATGTTTATTTAAATAGCGAAGCCCTGCCAGTGAGGCCGAACGGCACATTTCATTGTCTCCGGTCTCCCGAGCGTGGTCTGGGTCCCCTTCTAGCAGCAGCCTCTTGCTTTAACTCTCGCTCTTGCCAATTGAGGCAGGGAGATAATGAATTAAGAGCCACGGGAGGTGAGAGCCAACGCCTCCCCTGCAGCCGCAGCGTGCTCCGGGTGATGTTTCCTTACTCGTTTAGAAGACAATAGCCGAAAAAAATTAAGGAGGGGGAGAAAATGACTGAACCTTCTGTATGAGATAATGGATGAGCCCGGGATGACCTGTTTTTTTCCTTGCGGTGGAGCGGTGCTGAAGACAGAGGGCACCCGCGCCCAGCCCACAGCCGTCGCCCCGCCGCCAGCGCGCCAGCTCGGGGCGGCCGGAGAGCCGCCAATGCCCGTTCCCGACAGGCAGGGAGCCGCTGCCTCGCCCGGCCAGGTACGTCTGGGGCTGCCCCTCGGAGCGGAGCGCGGGGCTCAGCCGCGGAGCAGGCGGGGCGGGCGGAGGGCCCCGGGGCTGCGGGGCTCCCGGCGGCTCTGCCCGCCCGCGGGCGCGGACCCGCAGCAGGACGGCGGCTCCCCCGGAGCGTCGCCTTCCTCGGCACCGTCCCCAGCGCCCGCGCCGCCCGGCGGACACGCAGCCCTACCAGCCCCGGCACCGCTGGCCCCGGCGGGGAGGGACGGAGCGGCTTCGGCGCGGGCTGTGCGTGCCGCGGCGGGCGCCGGGAGCGGTGTGCGGGTGTGCGAGTGTGAGTGTGTGTGCGGGCGGTGCGTGTGTGTGTGCCAGCCACCGTGCGTGAGCATCCGGGCACAGCGCGGCAGCAGCGCCTGGCGGGGGGCAGAAGTTTTGGGGAAGCGCCCCGCAGTGCTGGCGGGCGGCCGAGCCGGCGGTGCGGGCCCGGGACAGAGGGACACTGGGACACTGGAGCGCCGGGCCAGCGGGGTGTCGGGACACCCACACAGGAGGCTGCGGGCAGGGGACGCCGGGACAGGGAGGCGGCGGACGGGGGTGCGGCGGCGCTGGGGCTGCCCCGGCTGCGGGCGCTGTCTCGGGTGCTGACGGCTCCGCGAGCAACAGGGACGCGGCCCGGCCCCGCTCCCGGGCGGCGGCGGTGGCCGTGGTGGCATCTGCCCTCCCAGCACGGCCAAGCCCTGTCGCCGCGCTCGCCGCCGCTCCCCGCCCGGAGCCTCTCTGCACGGCAGGCGTGCTGGTAAGGCACATCGGGGCTTTGCCCGCGGTTGCCTTAGTAACTAATATGTATTTTCCCCTACCTTCATGTGTATGCCCCCTGACTGGATTACAGTTTTTGCCCCCTACACACGGAAAAGTTAATCTAAACTGTAGAGTGCTGTTTTTTCTTCCTCTCTTCCCTGACCTTTAAATGACATTTCCCGTGGCTGGCAGGGCAGACCACTCGCTTTCTCTTTTTGCTCACGTTATGGATGGATAAAGGAAATGTCTGAACTGAGAAAGATGCTTTCAGGTAATCAGAATGGAAAGAAAGGAGCGCTTGTCACTCTGCTTTTGGGGCTGGGGCCGCTGGGGCCGGGCGAGGGCTCTTCTCCGACGAGCTGCCTACCCACAGAAACTTTTAAAACTTCCCAGGGGCAGAGGGGGTGTGTGTGCTGGCTGGAGATGTGGGAAGTAGCTGCCTTGGCTTGAAATGCAGGCGCAAAAAGGATTGTAGAAACTCGACATGTGTGAGTATGCATGATCACATATCAAGGCAAAAAGTACATGATTTAATCCCTCTTGAAACTTTTTGTTGAGCGTCTTATTGGAGCACATTGCCCTGGGCTTTTGAGAAAGCAAACATCTCTAACTGTGCAGAGTTGCTTTGTCGAGCTCAGGTTTGACATCAATTTCCTGGTTAGCCTGTTTTATCCCCTCTTTCTATGCCACCAGGTTAAAAGTCACTAGGATGACGGCTGTCTTGGCACCTTCAAGAGTGATGCTGTGAGCCTTTGCTGTGATGGTATTTGGAGCAACCTGGCCGTCGTCAGGGAGAAGCAGATGCCATTTCCTACATGTTCTTAAACCATGTGCAGGCAAGGGGAGCCCATGAAATTTGTAACCTGGGTCTGGATGACATCGTGCAACAAAATGATTGGTGTGCTGCTGGTCTTTTTCCCTGCTCTGCTGCTGGAGATGGACGTGCTGCCCAGGAGTGGGGGTCGGAGGGTTCTTCTCTCTGCAGCCTCCTCACAGCGGTCGGTGGCTCGGATGGACGGGGATGTCATCATTGGGGCCCTCTTCTCTGTCCATCACCAGCCACCAGCTGAGAAAGTGCCCGAGAGGAAGTGCGGGGAAATCCGGGAGCAATACGGCATCCAGAGAGTCGAAGCCATGTTTCACACCTTGGATAAAATTAACGCAGACCCGGTCCTGCTACCTAACATCACCCTGGGCAGCGAGATCCGAGACTCCTGCTGGCACTCCTCCGTGGCCCTGGAGCAGAGCATTGAGTTCATCCGGGACTCTCTAATCTCCATCAGGGATGACAGGGATGGAGGCGCCCGCTGCATTTCCGACTCGCAGACCCAGCCCCAGGCCAGAGTGAAAAAGCCCATCGCGGGGGTCATCGGCCCCGGCTCCAGCTCAGTCGCTATCCAAGTCCAAAATCTGCTCCAGCTCTTCGACATCCCCCAGATCGCCTACTCCGCCACCAGCATCGACCTGAGCGACAAAACGCTGTACAAGTACTTCCTCAGGGTGGTCCCCTCCGACACGCTGCAGGCCAGGGCCATGCTTGACATCGTCAAGCGCTACAACTGGACCTACGTCTCGGCCGTGCACACGGAAGGTGGGTATGGGGCAGCCCCCGCCTTCCCGGGGCGCTGCGCCCTCCGCGGCGGCTCCGCAAGGACGCGCCCGTGCCGGGTCACCCTCCGGGACCGGCCCGGGCTGCGGCTCCTTCCCGGGGCAGCGCCGGCCCTGCCAGCCGCGGCACCGTGCGGCCAGCGGGGAGGAGCGGGAGGGGTGCGGGGCTGCGTCCGGGGGGCGGAGGGGTCTCCCCCGGCTGCGGGCAGCGGGAGCGGGGCTCGGCGGGCAGGAAAGTCCGCAAGGGATCGGGCGTCCCCCCGGCGCTGTCCCTGCTCGCACACGGGGTGGTTGGCTTGTTTGTAAATAAAAGTTAACAGATGTGAGCGGCTGCATGCGGGGCGGGCAGCCTCGCCCCTCCGGCCGTGGTGCTGATGCGCTCGGTCGCTACCATAGCCGGGAGTTTGACAAAACGGGATCAGGGCTCGGCAGGGACTCCGAGGTGACTAATCCTGACTCCCCGGGATTAGCTGCTGGCTTTGTTGAGTGTGAACTGATTTCCTGGCTCTGCGAATAGTGAGGAAAGAAACCTGAAAATCCCTCCCCTGTCCAGGTAGTCCCTGCACAGCCAGGTGCCGTGGGAAAGGGCAGGCAGAGGCTCATGCATCTTGTCTGCGGCTTGAGCATTAGTCAAAGCTATCGCTCTGCACAATCTGTTCGTAGTCAACAGGTCTTCTTAATTTTAAATATCAAAAGAAAAATAGCGATAATAGCAGTTTCTTAAAGAGGAGACATTGGTTTATAGCCAGGCTAGGTGGACCAATATAAATTGCAGCAGTAATTGCATTTGATAGAAAATAAACTTGTGACATATTATTGTGATATTTCTGTAGTCCAGCTGTGGTCCTCAAAATGGGATTTTTAGGTATAAATTGCAAATCTGCCCACATTATTGCTATAGCTTTGCAACTATTCTGTTTATCTGAGTGTATCTCCTGCATGGATTTGATTTTTATGATTCTCTGTGCTTACTGAGCTGACTCCACACCTTTCATTCTCACAGAGATGACTAAATAAAATGAGGTAAGAACATATATTGTGACCAAAAGAAAAAAAAAAAAGAAAAAGAATCTCCAGGAAGGGTTACATATTTACAACATTTAGAAGGGAATTGGATTGGTCTGGACACTAAACCAGAAAATGCTGCAATTTGAGGGGGCTGGGGGACAATTGAGCATGAAGCAATGACCTGACATTTGCAGTTCATTTATGCCCTGTTCAGATGAGAAAATGAGCTGCTAGCAAGACTCCAACACAAGCTATTAAGATTTTCTATTGTTGACAGATATGATTAGATCCTGCGGAAGGCCAGGATGACAAATAAACATGAAAGGGGTAAATTCTTTGTTGATCTAAACAGCCATCTCTCCCTTCAAGGCACTCTGGGGTGCTCTGCTAACTCACTGTGCCTGAAGAGTTGCCTCAAGGGACTGGCTGCATCTCTGTCCCACTCCTGCTAACCTTAGTGGACCTTATCTCTTTTGGAACAGACAACACCCTCTGAAGGTTCATTTAAAAAAAAGATCATTATAAGCAGCAACTTCAATCATTGATTGTGAGAAATTTTAATTAGATACCTATTTTTATAATGTTACTGACTGATGAAAAATAATTGTTGCAAGGTATTTTTAGACTTCTGAAGTGATACTTTTGAAAATAGGGGTAGCCCACAGGGCAACACTTCTCTTAGGAAAGGTCACAACAATTTCACAGATCATGCAGCTTGATATTCAGATTCGCTTTTTTGTTATTAATCTGCGTCTGCCATTAATTTATTGTTAAATTAAAGCAAAAAAAGTCACTGAAATTATGTAACAAGCTTTAACTTCACATTTCTTTCCAGACAGACAAGTTATTTACCCTACCCAATTGCTGTTGGGTAGATTCCAAAGACTTTTTTTCCTTCTATTTAAAGTGAAGTTAGTATTCATGAAAATCGGTGTAAATGGTTGCATTTTTGTTGTTTCAAATCCCCTACATTCACTGTATTGTTAAAAGTGAAATCATTCTTCAAAGACAACACAAAGCCACTCAATAATAGTCTGAGCAGAGCTGCTCCATCCATGCTATGTTTGGAAATAGGGGGATAAAGTGTAGTCAGAAACATTCCTCCTCCACAATTACTCATAGGCCTCTACACAGTCTTTATGGTGGGCTGCAAAATGTGCTGGGAGGAATTCTGGGGTATCACTGGTTGGAGAATCTCTTCAGCAGAGGCTCTGAGGAAAGGGCATGTTTCTAGGAAATGCACAGGTTGACATTGTGAGGAAGTTAATTGCTTTGCCTTCCAAGATCCAGTTTGGCCCCCTTTCCAGGGCAGGAATGCTGCTTTCTTCCTACCTGACCTCTGGTTCTCGTGGGAATGGACAACGTTTGGCTCTTGTGGGCGCCCAGCCACAAGGGGATGCAGTGAGACCACTGAGCTGACTGACTGTGCCAGCAAGGCACACTCCTCAGTCCTCACTGACCAGGGCAGGGTCATGGAAACTGCCCAGGCACATGAGCCCTTTCCCAGCCTGAACCATCCAGCTCCTCTGCTTAACCTTCCCCTGCTCCTGCAGCCTACCTGAAGCTGGCTGAATGCCCAAACCAATTCCTGGGTACAACATTATAGCTTTAATGATAATCAGAAATAAAAAGCACACAATTTGTTGCCCAAGTTTCTTTACATGAAACCTGTACATGCCATAAGAATGAACATAAAGAGGTCATCCATATAGGAGGATGTCTTTAAGTAGTTTGCATTTGACATGGAAATTTATCCTTCATGTGCCAAAATGATAATTAATTAGTGATGATAACTTTTAACTACACTCAGTCTCCACACTCTGGCAGGTACATGAAGCTGCATGGAGATGTGCCAGACCGGTTGGGGTTTTTTGCACAGTCGTTTATTAAGAAAAATAAACATTATCTGCGTAAGAACTTCTCAGTCAATAAAATCTGTTTTCAAAGGTCCACATAACACGTTGCTCCTTTTAGATTAAAATTTACATATAAAACTCCACATTAAAGAAGAAAGGAGTTTAGTTATTTTATTATGTATCTAAGCATAGTTGCCCATCATGTGAGTCAGTTTTTTCCTAGAGTGGGCAACAGTCATTAAATGCTGCAACAAATATCTGCATCAGTCAGTGTAAGGCTGTATGACCATATAGTAGTTGCAAAGCATTTTCAAGGTTATTATTTTGTTTAAGTTTTCTTCAAAGATAATTCAATATTGGAGCTCTTGGCACATCTGCATCTCAAATTTTAGGCTTGAAAGTCATTCTTATCTTGAAATGCACCTAAGTGGATGCTTAACTTTGAGCCCAAGCTTCCCATGGAAATCAAAGGCATCAAAAAGCACATTGGTTAAAATTGGGCACAATCCTTAGTGTGATAAGGGCAGAAGGAGTGACACTTGCCAAGAGTAACTTTCCAAGTGAGATACTCTGGTCTTTTGCAAGATAACTTCAGAGTCAGGAATTCTCAACTTAGACCAGGAAGGCACTGGTGCTTTGGTAGCACTGTGAAGAATTGCAGGGAACATTTTCTTCCTTTCCTGGGGAAGAGCCCCCAGGCTGCCCCCAGAACAAGGCAAGAGAATGTGAGCACCACTGCTGTGCTACTTCCATGCTGGAGGCAGAGAAAATTAATTTCTGGGGTTGCCATAAGAAAATTCAGTGTTTATGAGATGGCTGTAGGTTAAACTGACTTCCAAAACCCACAAGACAACTGCACCCTGGCTAGTGATCAGCGTGAAGTCTCCAGCAAATCCCTCACTTTTCCTGTTCCTCTTGTACAGGGAGCAGGAGAGATGGTGGTGGAAGTAGTCCTTTTATCACCTCATCTTCCAAGTATCCCTTTTCTGAATAAGCTAATAGAAATACTTAGTGCCTGTCCCTGGATTTCATTTCAATCATTGCCTACCTGTTAGCCTTATAAAATGTATGTGAGCATTCATTTGAATGCTGTTTGAAATTTATGGAGACCATGCTTAATTGTACAAATACCCCTTTATAAACAGGATTTCCATTCCAACAGATTAACATGCAGACTTTGCAGAAGCAACTTTGGAAATGGAGTGATTAAGATAATTGCACAAAATTTGGACTGTTTAGAAATTAATTTTAGAGAACAGTGAGATGTTTCTGGTCTTGATTAAATTTTGTCAGATTTTATTGCCAGGCAGTTCCTTTTTCTTGAGTATAAGGCTTAAAATGAGCTATGATGAAGCAGATGGCACAATTATAAAGATTTTCAGATCAAAGTAGATGGTAAGTATATTATCTTCACAATGATTTTTGATAACCTGTCTGCTGCACACTATCCATTGTACAGGAAAATCATAAACGTGGTTATATGTGTTGGAAAGAGGATGGAAAGGAGCGAGTCCTGGACTTTATTGCAAATTTCACAAGAAAATTGTGAATTTTCACAAGTTCATTCAGTAGAACCTACTAAAGTAGCTTTAGATATGGTGGAAGATAACACTTCTGTTTAAAGATAAGTGGGTCTATATTGATCAAATAGCTCAAAGGAATGATTTTAATAAAATTGTGTTTAATTTCTCGAAGGTGTTTCTGACAATGTTTTATTATTAATTCTATGGTGTCACTCAGTGATAAATAATTTTTGATAAAATTATTGTCAGGCAGCAGAATAAGGAATTCTAGTTCAAATGTTTGGAATTCTACAGAATGCAAATATTTCTATAGATACCAACAATTGTTAAAATGCTCTAATAGGTTAAGATCATGTAGTGGTATGAATTGTGCTGAGATGTGTGTTCATAAATGCAGCTTTCAATCTAATTTTTTTTATGTTTAACTTGTTTCACTAATCATCTTCAGAGGCTTTGTGACATGAAAAAAAGGAAAGGTGTATATCCCAAGGAAAACAGAAATTAGTTTCAAAACAAGTATCCCTACCTTGGATAGATCCCATTAATTGTATTAATTAGAAGGTGCTGGGAGAATAATTTTCATAGATTAACATTGG